CAGGGAAGCGATAGGAGCACGATAGAGGGTGATAGGGGGGCGATAGGGGGCGATAGGCGATAAAGGGTGATAGGGGGTGTTAGGGGGGAATAGGGGGCAATAGAGGAGCAGTGAGGGGCGATAGGGGAGCTATAGGGGGTGATAAGAGTGTGACAGAAGGGCTATAGGGGGAGATAGGGGGCAATGGGGGCCGAAAGAGGGGGATAGGGGAGAATAGGGGGTGACGGGGGGGGTATAGGGGCGATAGGAGGGTGAGAGGGGCAATAGGGGGTGATAGGGGGGCTATAGGGGGAGATGGGGGTGATAGAGGGGAATTGGGGGCGATGGGGGGGGATAGGGGTCAAGAAGAGAGCGATATGGGGTGATGGGGGGAGATGGGGGTCAATGGAGGGGGATGGGGGCAATAGGGGGTGCTAGGAGGTGAAGGAGGGCAATGGGGGGGGGGGGGGTGAAAGAGGACGGGACCCCAAAACCTCAATGGGGGGAGGAGGAGGAGGAGGAAGGGGGGGGGGGGGGGGGGCGATGGGAGCCGCTGGGGGAGGAAGCAGAGGCTGAGGAGGGGGAGCCCAAGGGGACCCCCCCAGCCCCGGCGTGGATGAGGATGAGGATGGAGCCCCCCCACCCCCACCTCGGGAGCGGCTCTTATAGGGATTGGGAGCGGGGGGGGGAGGGGTGAAGGTGATCCCGGCTTAGCGAGGACACGTGGGGATGGGGGAGGGGGGGGAAAGGGGGGATGGAGGCACCTGAAGGGGACCCAACCCCTCCCCTCCCCCTCCCCGAAGAGGGAAGGCATCGAATGGAGCCAAAATGCACCCAAACGGACCCAAAATGCACCAAAACGGACCCAAAATGCACCCAAACGGACCCAAAATGCACCCAAATGGACCCAAAATGCACCGAAACGGACCCAAAATGCACCGAAACAGACCCAAAATGCACCCAAATGGAGCCAAAATGCACCCAAACGGACCCAAAATGCACCGAAATAGACCCAAAATGCACCCAAACGGACCCAAAATGCACCCAAATGGACCCAAAATGCACCGAAACGGACCCAAAATGCACCGAAACAGACCCAAAATGCACCCAAACGGACCCAAAATGCACCCAAACAGACCCAAAATGCACCCAAACAGACCCAAAATGCACCCAAACGGACCCAAAATGCACCCAAATGGACCCAAAATGCACCGAAACGGACCCAAAATGCACCGAAACAGACCCAAAATGCACCCAAATGGAGCCAAAATGCACCCAAACGGACCCAAAATGCACCGAAATAGACCCAAAATGCACCCAAACGGACCCAAAATGCAGCCAAATGGACCCAAAATGCACCGAAACGGACCCAAAATGCACCGAAACAGACCCAAAATGCACCCAAACGGACCCAAAATGCACCCAAACAGACCCAAAATGCACCGAAATAGACCCAAAATGCACACGAATGGACCCAAAATGCACCCAAACGGACCCAAAATGCACCCAAATGGACCCAAAATGCACACGAATGGACACAAAATGCACCCAAACGGACCCAAAATGCACCCAAACGGACCCAAAATGCACCCAAACGGACCCAAAATGCACCCAAATGGACCCAAAATGCACCGAAATAGACCCAAAATGCACACGAATGGACCCAAAATGCACCCAAACGGACCCAAAATGCACCGAAACGGACCCAAAATGCACACGAATGGACCCAAAATGCACACGAATGGACCCAAAATGCACACAAACAGACCCAAAATGCACCGAAATAGACACAAAATGCACCCAAACGGACCCAAAATGCACCAAAACAGACCCAAAATGCACCCAAATGGACCCAAAATGCACCCAAATGGACCCAAAATGCACCCAAACGGACCCAAAATGCACACGAATGGACACAAAATGCACACGAATGGACACAAAATGCACCCAAACGGACCCAAAATGCACCAAAACAGACCCAAAATGCACCCAAATGGACCCAAAATGCACACGAATGGACCCAAAATGCACCCAAACAGACCCAAAATGCACCCAAATACACCCAAAATTCACCTAAATAGACCCAAAATGCACCCAAATACACCCAAAATGCACACGAATGGACCCAAAATGCACCCAAACGGACCCAAAATGCACCCAAACGGACCCAAAATGCACCCAAATGGACCCAAAACGCACACGAATGGACCCAAAATGCACCTAAACACAGCTCAAATGCACCTAAAGACACCCGAACAGACCCAAAATGCACCCAAATAGACCCAAAATGCACCCAAATACAGCTCAAATACACCCAAGTGAGCCTAAATACACCCAAATGCACCCCAAATACACCCAAATAGACCCAAAATGCACCCAAATGGACCCAAAATGCACCCAAATGGACCCAAAATACACCTAAACACAGCTCAGATGCACCTAAAGACACCCCAGTAGACCCCAAATACACCCAAAATACACCCAAATAGACCCAAAATGCACCCAAATACAGCTCAAATACACCCAAATGCACCCCAAAAGACCCAAAACACAGCTCAAATACACCTAAATACACCCCAATAGACCCCAAATACACCCCAAATATAGCTCAAATACACCCCAAATACAGCTCAAATGCACCCAAATACAGCTCATATGCACCTAAATACACCCAATACACCTAAATAGACCCAAAACAAACCCCAACAGACCACAAATGCAGCTCAAATACACCCAAGTACACCCCAAGACGCCAAATACACCCCAAGAGACCCCAAATACACCCAAGATACACCCCAATAGACCCCAAATACAGCCAAATCCCCCTAAATACACCCCAACAGACCCCAAATACACCCCAAGTACACCCAAGTACACCCCAAGAGACCCCAAATACACCCAAGATACACCCCAATAGACCCCAAATACAGCCAAATCCCCCTAAATACACCCCAAATGACCCCAAATACAGCTCAAATACACTCAAATATACCCTAAGACCTCAAATACACCCGAACAACCCCAAATCCCCCTAAATACACCCCAAAAGACCCTAAATACACCCCAAATACAGCTCAAATACACACAAATATACCCTAAGACCCCAAATACACCTGAACAGACCCCAAATCCCCCTAAATACACCCCAAAAGACCCTAAATACACCCCAAATACAGCTCAAATACACCCAAATATACCCTAAGACCCCAAATACACCTGAACAGACCCCAAATCCCCCTAAATACACCCCAAAAGACCCTAAATACACCCCAAATACAGCTCAAATACACCCAAATATACCCTAAGACCCCCAATACACCTGAACAGACCCCAAATCCTCCTAAATACACCCCAAAAGACCCTAAATACACCCCAAATACAGCTCAAATACACCCAAATATACCCTAAGACCCCAAATACACCCGAACAGACCCCAAATCCCCCTAAATACACCCCAAAAGACCCTAAATACACCCCAAATACAGCTCAAATACACCCAAATATACCCTAAGACCCCAAATACACCTGAACAGACCCCAAATCCCCCTAAATACACCCCAAATACACCCCAAATAAACCCAATACACCCAAAACACCCCCCTAACACCCCCCCCCATAGAAACACCCCTTAATGCCCCCCTCCCCTCTCCAGTCACGTGCCCGGGGGGGGGGGGGGGCAGCAGATGGTGCTGGGGGGGGGGGGGTCATTAAGACGCATTAACGTCGGGGTTAATTAATCACAATGGGGGGGAGGGGCAGGATCCCTTCCCCTCCCCCCCCCTCCTCCCCTGTGTCCTCCCATTGAACTCAATGTGGGGGTGGGGTGGGAACTACAACTCCCATCATGCCCCGCGGCACAAGGACATCATCATCATCCGGGTACTACAAAACCCAAAGCCTTTTAATGGGGGGGGTGGGGGGGGTTATTTTGGGGGCATTTCCCCCTTTTTTAATAACTTAAGAACAAAAAAACCACCAAAATCACCAAAACGCCCCAAAACAGCCCAAAAAGCCAAAGCTGGAGGTGGGAGCTGACAGGGACCATTTATTCCAACCCCCCCCCCCAAACAGGGATATTGGGGACCCCCCCTGGGGGTATTTGCCCCCCAATGGGGTATTTGGGGCACCCTAAAGGGGTTTATTTGCCCCCCTCGGGGGGTATTTGGGGTCCCAGTGGGGTATTTGGGGCCCCAAGGGGGGTATTTAATGTCCCCAAGGGGTATTTGGGCTCCAAGGGGGGGTATTTGAGGTCCCCAAGGGGGTATTTGGTCCCAATGGGGTATTTTGGGGCCCCAATGGGGTATTTAATGTTCCCAATGGGGTATTTGGGGTCCCAAGGGGGGTATTTAATGTCCGCGAGGGGGTATTTGGGGTCCCAGTGGGTATTTGGGGCCCCAAGGGGGGTATTTAATGTCCCCAAGGGGTATTTGGGGCCCCAAGGGGGTATTTGAGGTCCCCAAGGGGATATTTGGGGGTCCCAGTGGGGTAGTTGAGGTCCCCAAGGGGATATTTGGGGTCCCAGTGGGTAGTTGAGGTCCCCAAGGGGATATTTGGGGTCCCAGTGGGGTAGTTGAGGTCCCCAAGGGGATATTTGGGGTCCCAATGGGGTAGTTGAGGTCCCCAGGGAGGTATTGGGGCCCCAAGGGGGTGCACGTGGGGTGCCAAGGCCGATGTCACCCCATGGGGGTACTTGCAGCTCCCTATGGGGGCATTTAGAGCCTCAAGGGGGGGGTATTTGATGCCCACAGATTCAGAGGGGAACTGATACCCACTGGGGGGGGGGGGGGGAATTTGGGGTTCTCCAAGGGGCATTCCCCCCCCCCAAAAAGGGGGTGCTTTATGCCCATAGGGGGGTATTCAAACCCATGGGGGGTGTGTGGGATGCTTTATGCTGGGGGGTATTCAAACCCCATGAGGGGGGGGGTGATTTGGGGCTCTCCAAGGGGTAAACCCCCCCACAAAGGGGTGCTTTATGCCCATAGGGGGGTATTCAAACCCCAAAGGGGGGGGTATTTCAACCCCATTGGGGGGGGTATTTGGGGTGCTCCCCCCCCCCCCTTTAAAGCCTCCTTAGGGCCCGTTTCTTGTCCACTTTCTTCTTGGGGGGGGCGGGTTTCTTGTCCCGGTCCCCAGCGTGTTTCTTGGGCTGGGGCCCGTCGGGGGGGGGCGGGGGGGGTCGGTAGTTGTGGGGTGGGGCCGGAGGTGGAGGGGGCGTCCGGGGGGCTCGGGGGGGGCCCCGAGCGTGGATCTCGGTCAGGAGGCGGGCGCGGGCCGCGTACTCCTCGTAGTTCTCCAGCAGGAGCCTCCCGGCCTCCTCGTTGAGGGCGGACTCCGGGTTCGGGTGGATCAGGAGGCACTTGATGGTCTGGGGGGGGGGGGGGCACAGAGGTGAAGCCGTGAAAGGGGGATAAATACCCGACATCCCATAATACACCCCTTACCCTTTAACGCAACCCTTACTATACATCCCCCCATCCCATAATAGACCAATAACCCTTAAACACAACCCTTACTATACATCCCCCCATCCCATAATAGACTCCTTACCCTTTAATGCAACCCTTACTATACATCCCCCATCCCATAATAGACCCCTTACCCTTTAACGCAACCCTTAATACATCCCCCCATCCCATAATAGACCAATTACCCTTTAACGCAACCCTTACTATACATCCCCCATCCCATAATAGACCCCTTACCCTTTAACACAACCCTTACTATACATCCCCCATCCCATAATAGACCCCTTACCCTTGAACACAACCCTTACTATACATCCCCCATCCCATAATAGACCCCTTACCCTTTTACGCAACCCTTACTATACATCCCCCATCCCATAATAGACCCCTTACCCTTTAACGCAACCCTTACTATACATCCCCCATCCCCATAATATAACCCTTACCCTTTAACGCAACCCTTACTAGATATCCCCCCATCCCATAATATACCCCTTACCCTTAGTGTAACCCCTCCATCCCATAATATACCCCTTACCCTTAATATAACCCCTCCATCCCATAATACACCCCTTACCCGTAATGTAACCCCCCCATTCGATAATACACGCCTTATCCTTAATGCAAACTGCCATCCCATAATAGACCCCTCACCCTTACTATAACTCTACCATCCCATAACACATACCATATCCTTAATATGATCTCCCCATCCCATAATACACCCCTTACCCTTAATGTAACTCCCCTATCCCATAATATACCCCTTAACCTTAAGGGAACCCTTAATATACACCCCCCATCCCATAATATGCCCATTATGCTTGATATAACCCCCCCATCCCATAATATACCCTTTACCCTTATTATAACCCCCCATCCCATAATATACCCCTTACCCTTAGTGAACCCTTACTATACATTCCTACATCCCATAATATGCCCCTTACCCTTAACATAACCCCCATATCCCATAATATATCCATTATTATAACCCCCATCCCATAATATACCCATTATTATAATCCCCATCCCATAATATACCCATTATTATAACCCCCATCCCATAATATACCCGTTATTATAACCCCCATCCCATAATATACCCGTTATTATAACCCCCATCCCATAATATACCCGTTATTATAACCCCCATCCCATAATATACCCGTTATTATAACCCCCATCCCATAATATACCCGTTATTATAACCCCCATCCCATAATATACCCGTTATTCATAACCCCCCCATCCCATAATATACCCGTTATTATAACCCCCATCCCATAATATACCCGTTATTATAACCCCCATCCCATAATATACCCGTTATTATAACCCCCATCCCATAATATACCCGTTATTATAACCCCCATCCCATAATATACCCGTTATTATAACCCCCATCCCATAATATACCCGTTATTATAACCCCCATCCCATAATATACCCGTTATTATAACCCCCATCCCATAATATACCCGTTATTATAACCCCCATCCCATAATATACCCGTTATTATAACCCCCATCCCATAATATACCCGTTATTCATAAGCCCCCCATCCCATAATAATGATTTACCCATAAGGTAACCCCCCCATCCCATAATATGCCCCCCCATATTTAACCCCCCATAGACCAGACAGAGGCCCCAAAACCATCGCCCAGTGACCCTGGGGAGCCCCTAACAGCATCCCAACCCCATCCCCATCCCATCCCCATCCCATTCCCAATCCCATCCCATTCCCAATCCCATCCCATTCCCATCCCCATCCCCATCCCATCCCCAATCCCATCCCATTCCATCCCCATCCCAACCCCATCCCCACCCCATCCCATTCCCAATCCCACCCCGTCCCCAAACCCATTCCCATCCCCATCCCCATCCCATCTCCATCCCATCCCCATCCTCTTCCCAATCCCATCCCCATCCCAATCCCATCCCCGATCCCATTCCCATCCCATCCCCATTGGATACCACCAGGACGTGGCTCCGCCCTCCAGTCCCTCCAGAACACGTTGACGCACATCTCCCCCCATCCCATCCCCATCCCATTCCCAATCCCATTCCCATTGGATACCAGCAGGATGTGGCACAGCCCCAGCTTGGCCCTCCAGTCCCTCCGGAGCACGTTGACGCACATCTCCCCCCATCCCATCCCATTCCCATTCCCATCCCACTGGACACCAGCAGGACGTGGCGCAGCCCCAGCTCAGCCCTCCAGTCCCTCCGGAGCACGTTGACGCACATCTCCCCCCATCCCATCCCCATCCCCATCCCATTCCCGATCCCATTCCCATTGGATACCAGCAGGACGTGGCGCAGCCCCAGCTCAGCCCTCCAGTCCCTCCGGAGCACGTTGACGCACATCTCCCCCCATCCCATCCCCATCCCCATCCCATTCCCGATCCCATTCCCATTGGATACCAGCAGGACGTGGCGCAGCCCCAGCTCGGCCCTCCAGAGCACGTTGATGCACATCTTCCCCCATCCCATTCCCGATCCCATCCCATTCCCATTGGATACCAGCAGGACGTGGTGCAGCCCCAGCTGAGCCCTTCAGTCCCTCCCGGAGCACGTTGATGCACATCTTACCCCATCCCATTCCTGATCCCATCCCCATCCCCATCCCATCCCATTCCCATTGGATACCAGCAGGACGTGGCGCAGCCCCAGCTCGGCCCTCCAGTCCCTCCGGAGCACGTTGACGCAGATCTCGCCCCCCGGCCCCACGTTGGGATGAAAGATCTTGGTCAGGAAGAATCCCTTGGGAGGAGCCGCCGGGAATTCCTTGCCCAGCACCAGCTTCATCCGGAAGAGCCCCCCCGCGTACGGGGTGCCCTCTGTGGGGGGGGAAAGGGATCCGATGGGATATGGGTCATGGGGATCCAAGGGGATGGGGATCCGATGGGATATGGGTCATGGGGATCCAATGGGATGGGGATCCAATGGGATATGGGTCATGGGGATCCAATGGGATGGGGATCCGATGGGATATGGGTCATGGGGATCCAATGGGATGGGGATCCAATGGGATATGGGTCATGGGGATCCAATGGGATGGGGATCCGATGGGATATGGGTCATGGGGATCCAAGGGGATGGGGATCCGATGGGATATGGGTCATGGGGATCCAATGGGATGGGGATCCGATGGGATATGGGTCATGGGGATCCAAGGGGATGGGGATCCGATGGGATATGGGTCATGGGGATCCAATGGGATGGGGATCCAATGGGATATGGGTCATGGGGACCCAATGGGATGGGGATCCGATGGGATATGGGTCATGGGGATCCAATGGGATGGGGATCCGATGGGATATGGGTCATGGGGATCCAATGGGATGGGGATCCAATGGGATATGGGTCATGGGGGATCCAATGGGATGGGGATCCAATGGGATATGGGTCATGGGGATCCAATGGGATGGGGGTCATGGGGATCCAATGGGATGGGTCATAGGGATCCAATGGGATATGGGTCATGGGGATCCAATGGGATATGGGTCATAGGGATCCGATGGGATGGGGGTCATGGGGATCTGAATGGGATGGGTCATGGGGATCCGATGGGATGGGTCATAGGGATCCAATCGGATATGGGTCATGGGGATCTGATGGGATGGGGGTCATGGGGATCCAATGGGATGGGGATCCGATGGGATATGGGTCATGGGGATCCGATGGGATGGGGATCCGATGGGATGGGGATCCGATGGGATATGGGTCATGGGGATCCAATAGGATATGGGTCATAGGGATCCGATGGGATATGGGTCTTTGGGATTCGATGGGATGGGGCTCCAATGGGATATGGGTCATGGGGACCCAATGGCATGGGGTCATTGGGATCCGATGGGATGGGGGTCATGGGGATCCGATAGGATGGGGGTTATTGGAGGGCCCTGTGCTGCACTTGGGGTACATTGGTGGTTATTGGGGTGCATTGGGGTGCCCTGTGCTGCATTGGGGGTACACTGGGGTACAGTGGTGGTTATTGGGGTGCATTGGGGTGCCCTGTGCTGCATTGGGGGTACACTGGGGTACATTGGTGGTTATTGGGGTGCATTGGGGTGCCCTGTGCTGCATTGGGGTACACTGGGGTACAGTGGTGGTTATTGGGGTGCATTGGGGTGCCCTGTGCTGCACTGGGGGTACACTGGGGTACATTGGTGATTATTGGGGTGCACTAGGGTGCATTGGAGTACACTGGGGTGCCCTGTGCTGCACTGGAGGTACACTGGGGTACATTGGTGGTTACTGGGGTACATTGGGGTGCACTGGTGGTTACTGGGGTGCGTGGGGGTGCACTGGGGTACACTGGTGGTTATTGGGGTGCATTGGGGTGCGCTGGCGGTTATTGGGGTACATTGGGGGTGCACTGGCAGTTATTGGAGTGCACTGGGGGTGCACTGGGGGTTATTGGGGTGCACTGGGGTACATTGGTGGTTATTGGGGTGCACTGGGGGTACATTGGTCATTATTGGGGTGCACTGGGGGTACACTGGTGGTTATTGGGGTGCACTGGGGTACATTGGTGGTTATTGGGGTGCACTGGGGTACATTGGTCATTATTGGGGTGCACTGGGGGTACATTGGGGTGCACTCGGGTGCATTGGGGTACATTGGGGTGCACTGGGGGTTATTGGGGTGCACTGGGGTGCACTGGTGGTTACTGGGGTGCACTGGTGGTACATTGAGGTACACTGGCAGTTATCGGGGTGCACTGGGGGGTTATCGGGGTGCACTGGGGGTTATAGGGGTGCACTGGGGGTTATTGGGGTACATTGGGGGTACACTGGGGGTTATCAGGGTGCACTGGGGGTACATTGGTGGTTACTGCGGTGCACTGGGGGTGCATTGGTGGTTATTGGGGTGCACTGGGGGTGCATGGTGGTTATTGGGGTACACTGGGGTGCATTGGTGGCTATTGGGCTACACTGGGGGTTATCGGGGGCACACTGGGGTGCATTGGTGGTTATTGGGGTACATTGGGGTGCACTGGGGTACATTGGTGGTTATTGGGGTACATTGGGGTGCACTGGGGGTACATTGGTGGTTATTGGGGTACATTGGGGATTATGGGGGTGCACTGGCGTACACTGCTGATTATTGGGGTACATGGGGGTGCACTGGGGTACACTGGTGGTTATTGGGGTACACTGGGGATTATGGGGGTGCACTGGGGTACACTGGTGGTTACTGGTGGTTATTGGGGTACACTGGGGGTTATGGGGGTGCACTGGGGGTTATGGGGGTGCACTGTTGGTTATGGGGGTGCACTGGGGGTTATGGGGGTGCACTGGGGGTTATGGGGTGCACTGGTGCTCGTACCGGGCCCCTCGATGGTGACCTGCACGTCGGTGACGTCCTCGTCGTTGGGGCAGAGCTTGATGCCCGCGGGGGGGTCGGCGCTGAGCAGGGAGAGCTCCCGGCAGAGCAGGCGCAGGATGTGGGGGGGGAGGTTCTCTGCGTTCGACGTCTGGGGGGGGGCAGGGGGTCAGAGACCCCCCCTGCACCCCAAAGAACCCCCCCGTACCCCAAATACCCCCCCATACCCCAAATAACCCCCCCGTACCCCAAATAACCCCCCCGTACCCCAAATAACCCCCCCGTACCCCAAATAACCCCCCCGTACCCCAAATAACCCCCCCTCCCCAATGATGGGCAACGGGGTGCCCATTGATGATATAGGGGGGAATTGGGGTTGCCCCCCCCAATGATGGGTAATGGGGGGGGGGGGGAAATGGGGGCTCCCCCCCAATGATGGGCAATGGGGTGCCCATTGATGATATAGTGGGGAATTGGGGTTGCCCCCCCTAATGATGGGTAATGGGGGGGTGCCCATTGCTGATAGAGGGGGAATTGGAGGTGCCTCCCAATAATGGGGGGGAAAAATGGGGACTCCCCCCCCATGATGGGTAATGGGGGTGCCCATTGCTGATAGAGGGGGGAATTGGGGATGCCCCCCCCCAATGATGGGTAATGGGGGTGCCCATAGCTGATACAGGGGGAATTGGGGTTGTCCCCCCCCCCCCCATTGATGGGTAATGGGGGAGTCCCCATTGCTGATATAGGGGGGAATTGGGGTTGCCCCCCCCCATTGATGGGTAATGGGGGTGCCCATTGCTGATATAGGGGATAATGGGGGTGCCCATTGCTGATATAGGGGGGAATTGGGGTTGCCCCCCCCCATTGATGGGTAATGGGGGAGTCCCCATTGCTGATATAGGGGGGAATTGGGGTTCCCCCCCCTCCCCAGTACTCACCTGCCAGGCACCACCACGGGGCTCCTGGGGGGGGATGGAAACAAGGGGTGAGGCCCAAATCACCCCAAAACCATCCTAAATCACCCCAAAAGCTCCACAAATCACCCCAAAACCTCCACAAATCACCCCAAAATGGCCCAAATCACCCCAAAACCTCCATAAATCACCCCAAAACCTCCACAAATCACCCCAAAATGGCCCAAATCACCCCAAAACCTCCACAAATCACCCCCAAAATCACCCCACCCCCCCAAATCACCCCATAACCCTCTTACATCATCCCAAAATCACCCGACCCCTCCCCAACAGCCCCAAAACCCCACAAATCACCCCACAGCACCCCCAAACCAGCCTCAAATAACCCCAAAGCCACAACATAACCCCCTCTAATCACCCCAAAACCATCCCAAACCCTCCTCAAATCACCCCATAACCCCCCTTAAATCATCCCCAAATCACCCCAAACCCCAATAGCCACATAACCCCCACAAATCACCCCACACCACCCCAAAACCCCCTTAAATCATCCTAAAACTCTCTCAAATCACCCCACACCCCCCCAAGCCCCTTCATAACCCCCCAAATCCCCTTCAAATCATCCCAAAACCCTCAAATGACCCAAAACTCCCCCGAATCACCCCAAAACCATCGCAAACCCTCCTCAAAATCACCCCATAGCCTCCGAAACCCCTTCATAACCCCCAAATCACCCCAAACCCCCCTCAAACCACCTCAACTCCCCCCAATCACCCCATAACCGCCTTAAATCACCCCAAAACCCCCTCAAATCACTCCATAACCCCCCAAATCGCCCCATGACCCCCTTAAATCACCCCCAAGCCACCCAAATTGCCCCATAACCCCCCCAAAACCCCTTAAATCTTTCCAAACCACCCCAAAACACCCCCAAAAGACCTCAAATCGCGCCCCAAACCCCCTCAAACCACCCCAATCCCCCCATGGCCCCCTTGAATCACCCCAAAACCACCCTAATCGCTCCATAACCCCCCCAAAACCACACCAAAACTACCCAAAACCCCCCTTAAACCACCCCAATCACCCCATAGCCCCCTTAAAACACCCTAAACCCCCTCAAATCCCCCCATAACCCCTTTAAATCACCTCAAACGACCCCAATACCCCACAATCCCCCAACAACTCCCTTAAACCACACCAAAACCCCCTCAAATCACCCCAAAACCCCCCAAATCGCCTCATAGCGCCTTGAATCACCCCAAAACCACCCTAATGGCCCCATAACCCCCCCAAATCACCCAAAACCACCCCAAAACCCCCGCAAACCACCCCAACCCCCCACAATCACCCCATAGCCCCCTTATATCACCCCATAGCCCCCCAAACCCCCTCACAGCCCCCCCAAACCCCCCTCTCCCCCCCCCCCCCCCCCCAAGGCCTCCCTCACCATCGCGGCCGGGCCGGGCCCTCCGGTCGCGGGGCTCCCCCCCCCAGGGCCGGTGCTGAAGGCACCGGACGCGGCCCCAAGGCCCGGGGGGCTCCGGTCCCGGCTCCGGTTCCGGTCCCCCCCCTCCTCCTCTTCCTCCTCCTCGCAGCCCCGTTCGTGCCCGCAGCGAGCGCGGAGGAGCCGCCGCTGCCGCCGCCCGCCCGCCGCTCTGAGCCCTCAGCGCGCACCGCCCGCCTTTAGCTCCGCCGCCGCCCTCCGCCAGCCAATGGGAGGCGGAGGGAAGAGGCGAGGACCAATGGGGAGAGAGGGAAGGGGCGGGAGCTGAGCGGGGATTGGTGAGCTCGGGAGGAAGCGGAAAGGAGGGCGGGGAGGGGGGGCGAGCGCCGTAACGGTTGGCGGAAGGGGCGGGGCTTGGAGGTTTAAAAGGAAGAATTGGCCAATGGGAGGCGAGGGAAGAGGGGAACGGGGGGCGGGATTTCCGCTGGCGGGGTTAGGCTATGACGGGCGGCCCGAGCAGCCAATCAGAGAGCGAGATTCGGGAGCGACACACCCCCCCCCCCCTTACCCCCCCATGGGAAACCCAACCCCTCCCCCATCCCCCCCCCGCCCCGCCCCCATCGGACACGCCCAAAGAGTCACGTGGACAGGAAACGTCACTTTATTCCCCTCCCCCATCGCCCCTCCCCCTTTCTGGGGGTGGGGTCCTGGGCTGGGGGGGGGAGGGGGGGAGGGGAGGGTGTTGGGGGGGGGAGGGTCTCGAGGGGGGCGGGGCTCTAAGGCACGTGGCCCCTCCCCCCGCGTCGTGCAGGGGTCACGGGGGGGGTCACGGGGACCGCCCCTCCCCCATTGTATGGCTTCGATCTTGGGGGGGGGGAGGTGCTGTGACGTCACGGAAGGGGGTTTACGTAATCAGAGCACGTGACTGGGGCTGGCGTCAGCACCGGGGGTGTGACGTCATAAAGGGGGAGGAGTTAAAAACAGGAAGCCTCTCTCCCCGGGTTAGGGGGGGGAGGGGGAGGGGGAGAGAGGTGACATCATCAAAAGAGGCCCCGCCCCGTGGCGTCACCGGGACGGTGGGCGGAGTCTTGGCAGTGAGATCGCTGTGACGTCATACCCCGCCAGTGACGTCATGGCGGCGGGGAAGGGCGGGAGTCCACAGTGCTGACGTCATCGGACGGCTGTGACGTCATCAGCTGCCGAGTGTGACATCACCAGTTTCCGGTGCAATGACATCGAGTGACGCGATTGGCTGCCGCGCTGACGGGGCTGTGACATCATTGGCTGCTCAGGGGGTGGGGGCTGTGACATCATTCAGTCTGAGGTTGTGACGTCACCGTGACATCATCAGCCGCTGATGGGGGGACGCATTGGCTGCCGAGGGCTGTGACGTCACCCCTGGGGTGTGACGTCATTGCCTGATGGGGGTGAGTGGAGGACGCGGGGGGTGCCCTGCTGATGACATCAGAGCCGGGTCACCCCAGTGCAAGGGGGGGGCCCTGTCCCCAGGTGACCCCAGTCCTTGGGGGGGAGGGGCGGTTCCCATGGGATGACCCCAAAGCGGATCCCGATGGGGGGAGGGGCGGTTCCCATGGGACCATCCCGATGGTGGGGGAGGGCGGGGTTCCCATGGGACGATCCCAAAGTGGATCCCAAGGGGGGAGGGGCGGTTCCCATGGGACGATTCCAAAGCGGATCCCGATGGGGGGAGGGGAATTTCCCATGGGACGATTCCAAAGCGGATCCCGATGTTGGGGGAGGGGCGGTTCCATGGGACGATTCCAAAGTGGATCCCGATGGGGGAGGGGAGTTTCCCATGGGACGATTCCAAAGCGGATCCCGATGTTGGGGGAGGGGCGGTTCCCATGGGATGATCCCAAAGCGGATCCCGATGGGGGGAGGGGCGGTTCCCATGGGACGATTCCAAAGCGGATCCCGATGGGGGGAGGGGCGCTTCCCATGGGACCATCCCGAAGCGGATCCCAAGGGGGGGGAGGGGTGGTTCCCATGGGATGATCCCAAAGCGGATCCCGATGGGGGGAGGGGCAAATTCCCATGGGACCATCCCGATGTTGGGGGAGGGGCAGTTCCCATGGGACGATTCCAAAGCGGATCCCGATGTTGGGGGAGGGGCGGTTCCCATGGGACCATCCCAAAGCAGATCCCAAGGGGGGAGGGGGAGTTTCACATGGGATGATCCCAAAGCAGATCCCAAGGGGGAGGGGAGGTTCCCATGGGACGACCCCAAAGCGGATCCCGATGCGGGGAGGGGCGGTTCCCATGGGACCATCCCAAAGCAGATCCCAAGGGGGGGGAGGGGTGGTTCCCATGGGATGATCCCAAAGCGGATCCCGATGGGGGAGGGGCGGTTCCCAAGGGAAATCCCACAGCGGATCCGGGGGGGGGGAGGGGGGGGTGTTTCCTTTTGCCCCCCCCCCTCCCCCCTCACACGGTGACCTCGGTGCGGCTCCCGGTTCTCAGGTGGTGCCCGTGGGGGAGGGGTGGGGGTGGGGGGTGGGGGGAGGGGCCCCGGCAGGAGCTGGAGCTCGGCCGTGCTCTGCCGCTGCAGGCGGCGGGGGGGGTGCGCGGGGGGAGGGGGCGGGGGGGCGGGCCAGGGGGCGGAGCCGGCGGCGAAGGGGAGGAGCCTCCGGGCCTGGCCCCGCCCCCCGCCAGGCTGCTGTGGGAGGTGGCGTGGGGGAGGGGCCGCGGGGAGGGGGCGGGGTCGCGCCGCCCCCCCCGCGCGCGGGGCATGGTCCCGCCCCATCCCCCCCCCCGCCAGCAGCAGCTCCTGCGAGAGCACGCGGCGGGGGGCGGGGCCTCCGCGGGGGGTGGGCGGAGCCAGCGGCAGGGCGGAGCGAGGGGGCGGAGCCCAGGCCGGGGCCCAATAGGTGCGCCAGGGCTCATCCGGGTCCCGGTCGGCTGCGGGGAGAACGGGGGGGGGGGGGGGGGGGGGAGAGGTCATGTGAGGGCACAGGTGTGAGCGAGGACACGTGTGTGCATGGGACATGTATGTACATAAGGACATGTGTGTGATTGACGTGTGCGTGCATGGGACATGTATGTACATGAGGACATGTGTGTGATTGACGTGTGTGCATGGGACATGTATGTACATAAGGACTTGTGTGTGATTGACACGTGTGTGCATGGGACATGTATGTACATAAGGACTTGTGTGTGATTGACACGTGTGTGCATGGGACATGTATGTACATAAGGACATGTGTGTGATTGACGTGTGTGCATGGGGACGTGTGTGATTGACACGTGTGTGCATGGGGACATGTATGTACGTAAGGACACATGTGTGATAGACACATGTGTGCATGGGACATGTGTGTACATGAGGACATGTATGTGATTGTGTGTGCATGGGACATGTGTGTGATAGACACGTGTGTGCATGGGGACATGTATGTACATAAGGACATGTATGTGATTGACGTGTGTGCATGGGGACATGTCTGATAGACATGTGTGTGCATGAGACATGTATGTACATAAGGACATGTGTGTGATTGACGTGTGTGCATGGGACATGTATGTACATAAGGACACGTGTGTGATTGACGTGTGTGCATGGGACATGTATGTACATAAGGACACGTGTGTGATTGACGTGTGTGCATGGGACATGTATGTACATAAGGACGTGTGTGATTGACACGTGTGTGCGTGGGGACATGTATGTACATGAGGACATGTGTGTGATTGACACGTGTGTGCATGGGGACATGTATGTACATAAGGACATTTGTGTGATTGACGTGTGTGCATGGGACATGTATGTACATGAGGACATGTGTGTGATTGACGTGTGTGCATGGGACATGTGTGTGACAGACGCGTGTGTGCATGGGGACATGTATGTACATAAGGACACGTGTGTGATTGACGTGTGTGCATGGGACATGTATGTACATAAGGACGTGTGTGATTGACACGTGTGTGCGTGGGGACATGTATGTACATAAGGACATGTGTGTGATATGTGTGCATGGGGACATGTGTGTGATTGACGTGTGTGCATGGGACATGTATGTACATGAGGACATGTGTGTGATTGACACGTGTGTGCATGGGACATGTATGTACATGAGGACGTGTGTGATTGACACATGTATGTGACTGACACGTGTGCATGGGGACATGTGTGAATGGCACATATATGTGATTGACACGTGTGTGTGCATGGGGACATGTGTGTACATAGGGACATGTATGTGATTGATGTGTGTGCATGGGGACATGTATGTATATAGGGACATGTATGTGCATGGAACATGTGTGTGCATAGGGACGTGTATGTGCACAGAAGATGTATGCGCATAGGACATGCACGTACATAAGGACATGTATGTGCGTGAGACTTGTATGTGCATTAGCACACCTATTTACATAAGGACATGTATGTCCATAGGGACACATATGCAAATAAGGACACGTATGTGCCCATAGGGACACGTATGGAAATAAGGACATGTATGCTAATAAGAACACCTATGTCCATAGGGACACATGTACGTCCAAAGGACCATGTATGCAAATAAGGACACGTATGCAAATAAGGACACGAATGTCCATGGGGACACATGTATGTCCATAGGAACACGTATGCAAATAAGGACACGTATGTGCCCATAGGGACACGTATGGAAATAAGGACATGTATGCTAATAAGAACACCTATGTCCATAGGGACACATGTACGTCCAAAGGACCATGTATGCAAATAAGGACACGTATGCAAATAAGGACACGAATGTCCATGGGGACACATGTATGTCCATAGGAACACGTATGCCCACTGGAACACGTATGTGCCCATAGGAACACATATGCCCATAGGAGCGTGTGTGCCCACAGGAACATGTGTGTGCCCACAGAAGCATGTATGTGCCATAGGAACACGTATGTGCCCACAGGAACACGTATGTGCCCACAGGACATGTATGTGCCCACAGGAACATGTATGTGCCCACAGGAAAACGTATGTGCCATAGGAACACGTATGTGCCACAGGACACGTATGTGCCACAGGAACACGTATGTGGCATAGGAACACGTATGTGCCATAGGAACACGTGTGTGCCACAGGAACACGTATGTGCCATAGGAACACGTATGTGCCCACAGGAAAACTTATGTGCCATAGGAACGCGTATGTGCCATAGGAACACGTATGTGCCACAGGACACGTATGTGCCACAGGAACACGTATGTGCCATAGGAACACGTATGTGCCATAGGAACACGTATGTGCCATAGAAACACGTATGTGTCCACAGGAACACGTGTGTGCCACAGGAACACGTATGTGTCCACAGGAACACGTGTGTGCCACAGGAACACGTATGTGCCATAGGAACACGTATGTGCCCACAGGAACACGTATCTGCCATAGGAACACGCATGCGCCCACAGAACACGTATGTGCCACAGGAACAAGGATGTGTCCACAGGAACATGTATGTGCCACAGGAACACGTATGTGCTATAGGAAAACGTATGTGCCACAGGAACACGTATGTGCCACAGGAACACGTATGTGCCACAGGAACACGTATGTGTCCACAGGAACACGTGTGATCACGCGTGACCATGCGGGGCTCACCCAGGCGCCGCAGGGACGTGCAGCGCCCCAGCTCCGGGGGGGGGGGCCCCTCGTAGGGGGGGGGCGGGTGCGAGAGGTTGTGGAAGGAGCGGGAGCAGCTCAGGGTGCCCGCGCGGGGCCCCCGCCAGTCTGGGGGGGAGAGAGGGGAGGGGGGGGGTCAGGTCCTGGGGTAACCCCAA